GTCCGCCACATGTAATGTCATTCATGGTGTAGTCGATGACTATTCTAATGGACTGTCATTTGTTTGTTAAGTCGGTTACGCATTCTATGGCGGAGAAGGAGTTCTGGCGTTTAGTGTCAGCCTTAGAAGAGTCGGTGACCGTTGAATACGGAGCAGATCTGCATACAAATGATTACGGAAGTGGTTTTCCCACCAAATTGACTAAAAATCTCATGCCTTCAGATATGGTAGGAATTGACTAATTGATGAATATTTCTATTTACCCTGAATATATTATAATTACACGAAATATTGTTATATTAAGGAATATATAAACCATTTGTGGAATCTAAACAACATCCCAGTTCTTGAGGGCAGTGTGTTTCGTCACATAAATGCCAACATAAGTGGTATGATAGTGCCCTGGATGTATGTGGGCATGTGTTTCGCCACTTTCTGTTGGCATAATGAGGACCACTGGACCTATTCTATAAATTACCTGCATTGGGGAGAACCCAAGACCTGGTATGGCGTTCCCGGAGAACACGCCGAGACCTTTGAAAGGGCGATGAGAAGAGTGGCCCCCGAGCTCTTCAAATCACAGCCCGATTTACTGCACCAATTGGTCACTATTTGTAACCCAAATATTCTAATGCAAGACGGAGTTCCGGTCAGTCCATTGCTGAACCACTGATGCTGTTGTAATGATTACTAATAAAACGTAATAATGATTGTATTAATAGGTCTATCGGTGTAACCAAAACGCGGGTGAGTTTGTGGTGACATTTCCGCGTTCATATCACACGGGTTTCAATCAGGGCCTCAACTTTGCCGAAGCGGTCAACTTTGCGCCGTCTGATTGGCTGCCTATCGGACGCGTTTGTATCACTCATTACGCAATGCTTCACAGATTCCCAGTTTTCAGTCACGACGAGTTGATCTGCAAAATGGCTAACGATCCCAACCATCTCGAGATCACTCTCGCTGTCGAGACCTATAAGGATATGCTTCGTATGGTTGAGAGTGAGAAGTCGTCTCGTCTTTCACTGCTTGAGTGGGGAGTAACTCAAGCGGAAAGGGAGGCGTTTGAGTTGCTTCAGGACGACGAGCGTCAATGCGATTACTGCAAGACTACATGCTTTCTATCGGCACTCACTTGCAATTGTGATCAATGTATGTATTTCTGATGCATTGTGTTTGAGATATGAATCATAACCGTTGTTTTCGTTGATTTGCAGCCAAATTGGTTTGTCTCAGTCATAAAGACAACTTGTGTCAGACATGTCTGCCCTCACAACACACCCTACGCTACAGATATACTTTGGATGAGTTGCCGATTATGTTACACCACTTGAGGAAAAGGGCTGAAAAGTTCGACGACTGGGCCTCTAAAGTGCAGACACTTCTTAAGAAAATGGATACAAATTGTAATAACAATGGTATGTATGGACTAAATGTTCATAAGAAATGAGTGTATAATTGAATTGATTGATTAGAATCGGAGGAAACGAGAGTTCCGTCGCTGAAGGAACTGAAAGCTCTGTTGAACGACGCGGTGGTCAACAAATATCCGACAAATTCTGAAATCTACGAACACTTGAACACAATAGTGACCGAAGCGTCCAAATGCTCGCGAGCGGCAAAGGATCTGCTCAGACAACAGGAGACACTTCGCAAACAACAACTCACTGCCGGACCCCAGCAAACGCTTTCCCCCGTCAAGCGCACCCTCAGGTCCACAGCGGGCCGTAACGCCAACTCTGGACTACGAGATAACCTCAACATTAGACTAACGTTAGAAGAGATCAGTCTTTTCTATGAAGAGATCGCAGAACTCGAATGCGATATTCCTGAGAAGTATTCACTGAAGCAACTCATCGAAAGGTGTAATTCTATCGCGTCCTCTATTATGAGTGTTTTGGACACCAATAACGCCAAAGAAGTGAATGAATCACTGAAATCGAGTGACTTGGAAGCCGTACTATTGGACGCCCAATCCATAGTTGTGGTGGACTTCGGGCCACAACTGGAATCCTTTCGACACAAACTCGAAGAGATTCGTTGGTTAGAAGAATGCGATCTCATTCTCACTGAAGACGTTAAACCCGAAAACCAGAAGAGATATGAATTGACAAACATTAAGGCATTGATTGAAAATGGCATGAAATTAGCCGTCAATACAGAGAATATAAACTCAAAACTCAATGAATTGCAGCAAATGGTCGACGAATCGAATAAATGGATTGAAAGAGCGACCAATTGTTTCAATGTTAAGACTGAGGGACAGAACGAGTCGGACGTGAATGCGAGCAAACCGTCCCTCGATTTCCTCGAATCCCTTATAACCGAAACGGAAAGCAATTCAAGTCTCAGACGACTCGTACTTTCGCCACAAATCGACAAAATCCGTGAAAGTGTGGGTTCGGCTCGCAATTGGATGAGTCGAGTGAATGTGTTGTTCGGCAATGAGAGCCAAAAGAATAACATAAAAGTGTCGTTAAGTAACGCCAACTCAGGCGCTGCGCCTATGATTGAAGCGGTCGAGGAGTTGGTGGTGTCGGCCAACGGCATTGACTGCCAATTAACGCATTTAGCAAATCTGAACTCTACTATCAATGCCGCCCGCAATTGGAGGGATCGACTGAACCGCACGTTCACTAAGAAGAGCCCATTGTATTCAATCATTCAAATACTTAGCCCTCGAATCGCATCAATGGGTCAGTCGTCTGAGAGTTCATTCTCTTCGCGAACATTATATCACTATTTGAAGCGAATGTCATCACAAACACAGCCCAAAGAGCGTAAGAATAGCGCGACGAATGGCAAAACTGGCGGTAAAAGTATATTTGAGACCCAATTGAATGGAGAGTACAGCCGAACACATATCGTAGCGCTCTATAAGCTGTTTGAAGAGCAAGAACTCAATCACTTACGACTGACTCGCAAACGAAACGCATCCAAACGACTCTATTTGGAGCGAAAGGCCTCTGATTTGGTGACCGACTCTTCGCAGACACCGTCACCAGAAGACGACTCGAAGAGCCCATCGTTTAGATTCTGTGTTTGTGGTAAAGAAGAGGACGAATGGATGATTGAGTGCCAGTTGTGTAACGACTGGTTCCACAACACATGCATTCAGAACTTGCAATCTTTTTTGACCCCTTATGAGTGATCAAGTATTCAACGATTATTGCAAACATAGCATAACTTACCAAATATACGGTATCCTTATATCCACACAAATTCTGATATTCTTATTGATTACTAATTGATCTCAACATCATTTCACGTGAATATCAATTATATCACCAATACTTTAAGTATTATACACAATACAGTACAGTATAAACACTTTCATCAATCCAATGGTTAAAGATTTAAGAATTGGGTCTTATTTTAAGATTTATATTGATTTTTTGGGTAATTGAATGCACTGTAAGATAATGGGATAAAAATATGTTTAAAATAGCTTTAATTGTTATTAATATGTATTTAACCACAACTGTTACTAGTTTTACAAATTCACATTCAGTGAATTGATTGCAATGAGACAAACGGGTTGTAAATTATTTTTTATTACAAAACTTATATTTTTGTGAATTCTGAATAATTATATATAAATATATTTAAGTAATTGACTCTATTTTATAAATGTTTCACAAATTATGCAATTATCGAAAAAATTGTGAATATATTTATTACAAAATTGATGTCATTTTTATATTACATTTCTATAGTTGTTAACATAAGTATATTTAAACGGATTTTATGAAAACTAATTTATTAAAATATTTACATTTCATAATTTCATTGACAAATAAAATTAATTTAAAATTAATTCTCGTTATAAAAGTTGTTTGCCATTCATGGCTCTATGAGTTCAACTATAGTCCACTCAATTGTCACATCAATGCAAATAACCATCAATTTAGGCTCCATTTGAATGATTGACATAAGATTGCAATTACGGTATACGTTATGACAAAACACATGACTTACGGATCCAGTAAATTAAGAAAGTGATCACTATTTTGTTAAATAATTTCAATTTGAATTCAGTTTTTGTGAGCTTATAATATTTTTATTCAATACGTGTTCGAAATGTTTTTAATGACAATAATCAGTAATCAATGCTTTAAATTCTATATTAAATATAAACTTACATTTAATGCAATAATAATATAATGTATTTTTATTTAATTTAGTGTTTGTATATCAATATAATATAATTTATATACGAATTACCAATTCTTTACATTCACTCGAAAATGGTGTCAAATATAAACTAAATTCCACTAATTGTACGTCAAATCAATGTTCATAATGTTATCAATCAATCCTTTAATTGTCGGCAATGAATACAATAAAACTTCTCGAGTGATGCGATTTCGTCGGGATTATCGATACCAATACACAACTGATGATACCATCCCTCACACCCACCCTCACAGTAGACCCAATTCACTTCAGCCACTATTTCCACAAACAAATCAATCAATTAATGAATCAATTCGTCAATCATAACACAGACTAACCGTTGGGTTTGAGACACTTGTCTTTCATAGAACAGAGTTCATCCGTATCCGAAGATTTGCCTCTTTTTCCGTTTCTTTTCATTTTGGAACCGCTTTTCAACACTTTTTCCTTTCCATTCAATTGCTTCTTCTTCTTGTTTTGGGTCTCGCCGTCTGATTCCGAAACAGACTTTCTTTTATTGCTCTCAAACTCCGTGTCTTCGATGTTATTATTCCTCAAAACAGTCCTATAATTGGGTCTAAAATGGCAATTCATTGCAATCAAAATGCAGTTCATATAACCATATAGTGAGCACTCACTGAGACAACTGCCAAACGAGCCATAGATGCGACGTCTCCTCTAAACTCACTTCAAGACAATTGCCTTCGAATAGCAATTCCGACAACAGTTCCAGTGATTGTGGACTCAATTCGATGAGAGGTTGCGCTGCCGTCTCACCTAAAGTCAAGTTAACAACTCTTTAGACAACATTTGATTGACAGGACAGACATGTGGGAAGGCCTACCCCTCAGAATTAGCGGTGATTTGCGTTTGTTTTTCATTGGCGACACTTCTGGAGATGTGTTCGAAACCATTGTCTCGTTTGAAACCATTGTGGAAGCGCTCGGAGAATGCATTTCCGATGAGTGACTAATGATTGGTTGAGATCTTTGTAACTGAAGTAACGCCTGAGCGGTCGCTTCTTCGGCCGCCATTTCCTCTCTCTTTTGTGACAAATCAAGTGTGGAATCGGATTGCAATTTAATGGCCCGATTGTAGGCGTTGTCTAAATCCGGGTGCAATTCAATTGCTTCGCGGACTCTGTTCTGCCAATTGATGGCGCGTTCAGCCAAACACTGGAGTAGTTCGCCGTCCAGTAGTCTTACCGGAAGTTTCTGTAGTGAACACAAGAGCGTCAAAATAGTCTCCACTTTAGGGCGACGTCCGCGCGAACAGAGATCGCAAATGAGGTGCTGTTGGGGTTGCGGCCAATCCGTGGCCACAGTTTGTGACGATTGACTCATTTGTTGCTTTTTCCTCATATAAACCGATTGCAAGTTCTGAATGCATGTGTTGTGGAACCAGTCGTTACACAACTGGCACTCAATCATCCATTCGTCCTCTTCTTTACCACAAACACAGAATCTAAACGATGGGCTCTTCGAGTCGTCTTCTG